CCCCAGCCAATGTGACTGGTGTCCTTACAAGATTAGGAGGTGGTGCATGTTTGTCATCCCAGCTACTTGGGAAGCAGAGGCAAGAGAATCATGAGTTCAAGGCCAGCCCAGGCAAAGTTAATGAGACTTTATCTCAAAAACAACATACAAACAAGAGGGCTGGGGATGGGGTGGCTCAAGGGGTTGCCTACCATGCATGAGGCTTTGGGTTCAATCCTTAGGACTGGTACAGCTCAATTCTCTGGCTGGCCAGTAGGTGACAACTCTGCACCTTGCTGCACTTGCCCGCTCTTGTTCTCTTAGACAAATACTGGCTCAGTTTTTCTCCTTGCCGACTTTCATGAGCTTTACCTGCATCCCAACCTCCTGATGGGAAATGTAGTTATGGATTCTTCCTGCTTTCATCTGCGCGTGATCTGAACAGATCCACTTCATTTTTGTTTAAGGTGCAGACAGAATATTTAATTCATTTCAACCAGTTTTAACAGTGGTCAGCTTTTAAATCCTTAAACTCCACTACAGTTACCTTAGCTTGGTCACTATTAGGTTTGAGGGGTGGCTTCGGAGATGGGAGCCTATTATCAGGAGATGATGTAATTGTGGGGTCTCCTCTGGAGACATCGTCTCCCAGTCTATACTGCCTCAAGATGGAAGGCTCTATGGTCATGGTATGTGGGTCGTCTATGACCAAAAAAAGGGGGTTGCATTGGTAGAGTTGGCAATTGGGGAGACAGCGCTCTACTAATTTGGATCTTTCTTTGAAATTATTTCCATTTTCCCTTCCTGTAGGCTGATGAGGTCCAGCCCTCATAGTATGTAGTCCACCCCACATCTGGACAGCCCCCACATGACCCATCTAAGTTTTTATCAAAATCATCACAATATTCTTCTCCAGGGCCAGGGTATGAGCACATACATATAGTCTCAGCCCAGAGTTGATGTTGTCCAGGGATCACCACAGGGAGTACAAGGCATGCATCAAACTTAATGGTCAAAGGAGAGGTTTGGGTAACATCAATGGTAACTACAGTTTCCCAAGTAAAAAAGGGAAAATTGTCCCACTATAGTCTTTTTTAAGCTACTTTGGTATTACCAAGCTCTGGAGACACAGTCCATTATTCCTCCTCGGGAGCTTGTTTTATTTGGGTGTAGTGAGTCCATCCCTTCTTGGTGGTGTGGACTGTAGTTTTGGTAGTGAGTAACACCTGATAAGGTTCCTCTCTGCTCCAAGTCCAGATCAGGATGTAATCTCCCAGTGTGGTAGAGTCTGGGCCCGCAGTCCTTGTTGCCTAAAGGATGAGCTGAAGAGAGACTGAGCTCGTAATTTCAGAGGAACTGATCCATAAGCAAAAGTTATATTCCAACATTTACAGAACTACTAGCTTCACGATCAAAATATAATGAAACTTTTACCTTTATTGTAAGCAAATTATGTTTCTTGAGCTATGGCTTTTTAAGATACTTTTTCACACAGTTGGGATAAACTTATAGATCTTTAGGGGGAAGAGGAATGTCTCCATAGCCTTGAATGACTTTCACCCTGAAATAAGTTACATTTGCTTCCCCATAGGAAACAATAGGCTGCATTGCTTTTTCCTTACTAGGGCTGTTAATTAATTTTTTTACCTTTAGAGTAAGATTTAGCAAAGCTTGTAACCTCTTACAAGCTTGAGAAGACAGTGTTAGTGCCCCAGATAGAATTAGGTTTTTTTTTTTTTGATCAATTGTTGATTACTTTAAACTTTTATAACTTTAACCCCAAAAACCTCTGTACAGCATCTGAATGGAATTTAGACACAGAGCCCACACATTTTTAGCATGATAAATGTACTAAAAATCTCTGAAAAGACATTTAGTTAGGACTCAGTTTCCTAAAGAGTCAAAACCCTGATGGGTTCCACAAGCAATATTTTAACTTTAGGAAATCCTTTAGATAACTCTTCAATTATAGTCAACTTAATTACACACATTAACTTTTATAAACTCTATCTATCACATGGTTTTAAGACTTACTCAGGCCTTTATAACACGTGCTGAACCTTCTGATGGTTTGTCCTTATTCCTCTCCATTTGGAACAATCTTTAGGACAAACCTTTCTTTGCAAAATTCTTATCTAAAAGCACTCTTTCTCCCTTTAACTTTTTCTCAAACACATAACTCAACACCTTTTTATATCCCTTCTACTTGTTGACTTTGTAACTTGCATTTTAAAATAACTTTTATAAGAATTGTAAACTTTAATAAAATTGTCTTATCAATTAACCTTATTTTTACTATGTAGACCCAGGAAAAAAGGCAATTTTAAACTATTTGTCTATACAAGTAACTTAAAGACACATCCAATTATGAAAGAGCTGAATGTAAGACAGGATGAAACAGATCAAGATTACTGCACATGAAATAATGCCTGTATTTTGGGTAGACCTGGTTGAAATAAAACCTTGAAAACCTGGTTTTTCTAAAAAGTAGTAGCAGAAGAGGTGATGGAGAGAACAGAATCAGCAATTTCTTTATAGTAGCTCTATAATAAGAATCAATTTAAAGTTGTTTAAACACACATGCAAAAAAAAGTTTTAAATTACGCATACCATAAATGTCAATTTAAGCATGCATAAATGCTAGACTAAAAGACACACACAAAGACACATAAAACAACCAGAGTGTACCATAGAAAAAACCTTTTAAACCATGTGTAAGTTAGAATTTTCCTTGGTAGCACAAGACAAGCTGAGGGCCTTTAATTTTTATGCAAATCACAACAAATCCCTTTAAACCTCCTGTTTTGATATGTACCATCCCTTCCTTGCTAAAGACCTAAACAGAATCCGAATTTCCCTGTTAGACAAACTGCAGAAACTCAAAATCAGTTTAAAAGTAACACAAATGGCTCAAATAACAGAGTTGCAATTGGAATCTTTTAAGGCCCAATTCTGAGGCATCTTAATGTTAGGTTGGCCATATATTAGCAGAAAGACAGAAGGAAGAAAGAACAGCAATGGAGCTGTGCATATCTGCATCTGTTCCCTTCATTTGGAATAATTATTCTGTACTCTCAAGACAGATGTCTCCTTACACCTTAACAAGCATGATTAATTAAACCTGCAATGATTCTTATGGAGTGTCTCTTTCTAATCATTGCACCTTCCCCAGACCTTATTGCTGGTCCCTGGAGTTCCCCATCCTCTGGGGGGTCCCCTTACGAGGTATATTGAGACACATGACTTGTTAAGAGCGGGATTTAACTTTAAATGGCTTCTTTTAAGACTTCAGATTTAACACCCTTGAGGGTGCTTTTAAATAACCTAGAATAATAGTTTACCTTGTGCTACAGAAACTTTGCTATTAGTCAAACCTTTTAAAGAAAATTTAGGGAGCCTAGTTTTGGGTGGAAAGCTGGCATCCTATATCCTTTCCAGAAAAGGATACAGGATGCATGAGTCTAGCCTTTTAATTTACACCAAAAAAATTAGTTTTGCTTTGGTTTTTTAAATCAGAATCTGCAGGATAGGCAAGAAAAAAGGGATTACTTCTCCAATGAAACAGGTGATACTGGCTATCTTAGTAAGCATGGAAAAGGTAGAATGAGTTAGCCCATCAAGAATTAATTTCAGGGAAGAAGCCTCTTATAATCATAGAAAAAAAACCCAAAACACCCAAATGCCTTATTAAGTCCACAACAGAACCCAAGAAAGGGGCTGTCTTGTTGTGTTTTAGCTAATGTAACAACCTGGAATACTAAGGTCCCAATTTTTAAAACACATGGGCATTTGTAAGAAATAAAGAAAAGCTTAGACAGGAAATTGAAATTATGTCTCCCAGTGCCTCTGACCTGTGTGCACATGAGGCTGAGGGTGTGAGTCCATAATCCTGAGCAACCGCCTGGTGTCTTGTGCCAGGAGAGGAACGACGGGCCAGCCCATTCCCTGCAGGGGTTGCTGCCTGCAGTAACCTGGGCATGACCTGCACCCTCTCCTGGTCTTGACATGTCTGTGATGGGGAAAAATGTCCCATCTTGAAAGCAAGACTTAAAGGGGTTAACCATTAGTAGAGAAGTTAGTCAGATTTAGAGATTTAGAATTAGTGGAAAACAATCCAGGAGAGAAGTAGCTCCAACCCCCAGCCACATGCCATTTAGATTACCTTCACCTTCCTTAGAGCTCCTTTTGCTTGTGAAGTTTCCCCATCCTGGTCTACCTGGTTGGTGAGAATGCCCAGTAGATGCTCAACCTTCCTAACTTCCTGGAGGTGTCCCGCGCACTACCCCACACGCTTCATCTGTCTCTCACCAATTCTTTTGTGGGACAATATCCAGTTGGTGGCGCTACTTGGCAATAAGCAGGTCAGTATAAGCCCCCAACTAGGTCCCTATGGACTACCATTAAGCCATATAGAGTGGCCTGGATATCTACGGAGCTGTGCATTGGGACTCCACACTCCAAATGTGTCTCAGACGCATTTCATTCACTCTCACACAAACTCTGAGATCCTCCCTGACCACCAGTCAATGATGTTTCTTACCTTCCTTGGTCTGTGCACAGAATTTCTTGGTTCCATGGTACTTGCTAAGGCCCTTTTCCCTGTGTTGCTGAGATAATTCTTGGATTTCCAGCCCAAGAGCACCGGCTGCCAATACCACAAGGCCACTGCAACAGGGCAGAAGGATGCATCTCCCTTGGGCACGTCTTCCTGATGGAGTTATATGGGACAAATGCCCAAATTGCTGGAAATAAAACCCCTGAAGACCACTGGAGTTACAATTAAAGACACAGAAATGGAGAACTGTCTATGCAAGGCAAAATTTACTTCTACAGAAGGGTACACGGGTGCATGGGCATAGCACGCATAGCACGCAGAAAGGGGCAGGCAGTCTGTCCTTCCTTATATTCCTGATACAACTGACCCTGCCTCTCAACCTGGATTGGGCCAGATCAAAAGTACACAATCTTCTTGATTGACTGAAATTCTCTATTAACTTGGGGGAGGGGTTAAGATACACGGCATGGAGGGCAATTTTTGTGGGCAAAGGGGTTTAGCAAGAATCCGGAAGAAGAACCCAGAACTACAGACAATACAGGTAATTAAAATAGTGACATACACTTTGACAGAAAAGACTGCTTTCTCACATCCAGAACTATGAAATTTACACTTCTGCTGTCTAAGCCTGCCAGTCTGCAGGCCTTTGTTAGAGTCACCCTAGCAAATGAACACAACCCTCTTTCCAGGCTTGGCTCACTTCATAACCCTCTGCTTACTACATTCCAGCGGTAAGACTTTCTTTGGTCCTTGAAATTTTTATTCTCCTGGCTTCCACTGGTCTTTGCACATATACTCCTCCAGCTACCAGAAAAACAGTGCTGATAAATACCTTGGTTCTTGTATCTGGCAGGAAAAGAATCCAAGTAAAATGCAAAGATACAGTAAACTTATTGCAAAAGGAATACACTTTCAAACAGACTGAAAGTAGGTTGACTGTAGAGTGAGACTGAGAACTTCCTGCTTGGGAGTTGGTATAGCTATTGAGGAACTCTATGTTCAGGTCCACTGGCCCCTGGGACAGGTCTTGTCTTGTTAAATGAAAGAGATTACCTTTCTGGTAATCTCTCTCTGGTAGTGTACTACCAGTTTCTGTTCTGAGATACTACCTGATTTGCCTTAAGAGCTCCATTTTAATTACAGTAAGTTAGAAAGAATGGGAACTTCCTCCCATTCTTATGGGTGGGCACCATTAACATAGGTGCACGTGGAACCAGGTAATGATACACCCTCACCTGGCCTGGGAACCACCCATGCCCCTCCTCACTCATTGATTATTGAATGGGAATTGCCCGGTTCCTCCCTTCCTATAAGTTAGCATAGATTTTAAAAGCACCTGGAGAAGAGAAGCATACTCTCTCTGCCTCCAGATTCCACCTGGGTCCCACCATGCTCCCTTTTGTTTCCCTTCCTTAACTTTTAATAAACTCTATTTACACTCACATGTCCTGCCATGGATTCTTCCTGGTGGGACACAAAGAATTTGGAAGTCTTCTGATCACAGACTCCACCATGCTGCTGAACAATATGACTTGGTTATCTAGGATCTACCTGGATAATCAAAGATAATCTCTCCACTTTGAGATCCTTACTTAATCATACCTATGAAGACTCTCCTTTTTTTCTCATGTAAGGTACCATTCACAGGTTGCAGGAATTAGGACAAGGATATCTTAGTTGGGGGGCATTTTGCAGTCTACCACTGATTCTAAACTCCACAAAGACAAAGATCTTATGTGCTTTGCTCATTTTCTGTAAGCAGTAATCCCAGAGCCCAGAAAATCAGCAAATATTTGTTGAAGAAATGAATCGATACTATCTTTAATATTTCATAGCACTTATGATAAATTCCAGTTTTACTTTCATTTAATGTCCATCTTTGCTACCATTGGGGCAAGATTTCTGTTGTTTTTTTAGCTACTACAAAAGTACTGCCCACTGCCCTTCCCCTAACTCCAGCAGGGTGCATGACCAAGTGAATATTTGAATAATTGCTCAGTGAACGAGTGAAAAGAGTTGGTAACAATTAGGAAAATGTTAAAATTTTTGTCTCAGGAGTTCAAAGAACTTTTCAAGAAAATTGATCAGAGTAATAATCTAAGAACTCTCTTCCAGCACCTATGCCAGAGCTGCGCACATGCTTTCCAAGCCCTGTTCTATGTAAGTCTTTCCTGAATATGACCCAATGTGTTTGCTAGACATCGATAGGTTGGAGACAGCTATTTAATCTAACAACTAACAAAATTTATTTTAATTAGTTCAATTTGGGGTGGGGCAATTTTGTTAGTTTCAATTTGCCTCAACGTGTGATACTGGTCTTCTTGGGGTGTTGTCCTCCCCCTCCCTGCCTGGTGACTATGCAAACTGTGGGATGAGGACCCAACATTGCTGCCTAACACAGGACTCCTCTACCATGCTCAGAGGTCCCCTGGACTGACAGAGAGTCAGATCTCACCATGTCTGACTGCTTCCCTTCCCTAATTCTGCTTCTCCCTTCTCCTTTCAGAAGATTTACTCCCCAATAAACTTCTTGCACTCCTAAATCTATCTCTGCACCTGCTTTTCTGAGGACCTAGCTGACCCTGGTGGATTTTGGTAGCTCCAACCATCTTTCTGTTACTAATGGGAACAGATGTTTTAGAACTTGCTTTGAGCCCATTTCAGCAGAATTATAATTACCTGGCTGTTAGAGGGCCAAGGAATATTTCCACTCTGGCACATGAATCAACTCGACTTGTATTTCCTGCTGTTCTGCTTGCCATTGGATGCCTTGGCATTATGTAACATGACCTGAATGTCCCCACTGGCTTTCTCAATGAGTAATTTGTCCTCTTAATCAAGAGTGTGACTGGGGACAAGGTCACTTAGTCCGTTTCTAATAGCCAGTTAGTTTCCGTCAAGTTACCTGGTTAAAAATGGATTCTCATCTGGTCATATATTTACTCCATAAACCAAAAGTGTGACCCACACTTTGGTCAATCATTTCTCAACTACGTGTCAGACTAGCACCCTTTTTTTTGGGTCAACTAGCATGACTGGAGACTATCACTTGATTTGAAGCTAAGAATGGACGAGAATACTTCTTGCTTTTTGCTATGAAAGCATTTTCTAAGTTCTTCTTAGGAAAAGCAATAATCCTGAAATCATCCATCAAATACTTGTAGATCAAGAGAGAGCTGTTACCCTGCACTTAACCAGACTCTTGCACCCATATGCCCCATTCTTAAAACATTTGCAGGCAGTGTCTTTAGTGGCAACTACCAGGCAGACGCCTCTCAGACTCTACAGCATTTTTTACTCCTGTTCCTTCTACTTAATCATCCTTCTTTCATGTTAGAAACATCAAAGCCCTGACCTGTGTAGTGGAGTCAATACGAGTAGGAGCTCTCGGATCAGTCTCAGGTTCAACTATGAATTCTCCCATTTACTTGGCTATGTGATCTTTGATTACTTAACCTTTCTGAGTCTTAGTTCACAGCACTGTAAAACAGGATATAGTAGACACCATGGAGATCTAGTATGAAGATTAAATGAAATAATATTTTTAAAGCACATTTATTTTTTGTGCTCTTTATTTTTAGCATCAAAACATTATTTTTCTATTGCTGGCTCAGGACAGATGAAATTTCTAGAGCTGTAAAAAAATAATAAGTTTCCTTTATAATTATTTGTCTTTGTAAGTGGACTCTGGCTTAATCCTTGCTTGGATCTCCCTCAGCAAATAAGACTTTGAACAAGAGGGTATTTCTTTGATTACCAGATCACTTCAAGTTTGTTGAACTCTAAGACCTCAAATGTAAACCAACTGATGCAACTTGACATTTTTTTGGTGATACTGGGATTTGAACTCAGGGCCTTACGCTGCTAGTCAGGTGATTTACCCCCTAAGCCCACAACTTGATTTTTAATATAGCAATTTGGAATTTGGTGACAAGATGATAATCATTTTTTGGAGCGATCTGGGCAGCTCAACCTTAGGAAGACTTTTTGTAATCTTTAAAATCTTTTAAATTAGCAAATAAAAACTGTATGTATTTATAGAGCAAAACATGGTGTTTATATATATTACATATACATATATATATACCACATTTTTGAGAGGAGAGGGTCATCCGATCCCATCTCCCTCCCCACTACAAAAGTCAATAGTTCACCTAATTATAACATTTATTAACTATATGTAACTTGTGAGACTGTTTTCAGATCACAGACCCATAATTCCTACCACATATATTTCAATGAAATACTGGAGTATTTTTTGGAGTAACAAAAATATGATAGATTTGAAATGGAACCAAATAGCCACAGTGGAGAATAATCAACTTGGGCCTTAATAATACGATCAGACCATAGACTTCAATCTCATCTCTCCCTCTACTCCTGCAACCCAGTAATAGAAATTAGGAGTCACTACCAGATAGTAATATTCCTACTTGCAAAAGTGTTTTCTAGATGGTCCTTCTTGTTACTACAGAATCTCTAGTGCTTTTATCTAGTATTTAATTTTTTAATTACCACATTAATTTGTACTGGGGTACATTGTGACATTTACAAAAGTACTTACAATATATCATAGTTGAATTCACTCCCTCCTTCATTCTCCTTTATGCCCCCTTTCCCCATTCCTGGAATAGCTTTAGCAGGTCTCATCTAGTGCTTTTAAAATAGGGCTTGGGTGTATTGCTTGAGTGGTAGAGCACCTGCAAACAAACATGAGGCCTGGAATTCAAACCCTAGTACCAACAACAACAACAACAAAACCAAAATACAAAATAAATAGTGTTTAGAGGACAAACATTCCCAAAGTGGTGCTATATATCAGATGCTACAGTAGGTACAAAACTGAACAATAAAGATGTCTCCACTTCAGAAGGGAGTTCACCTTCTCATAGGGATTAAAAAGAGGCAGACTTTTAAAACATGGCTCTAACAAGTTCAATGAGAATGTGATGGAACTAGAGAGTGTGTATGCAGCAAGAGTAGCCAAATTTCTCTCCATATCCTAATCCAGGAAGAATGGGGCTCAGTTTGAAAACCTGGTGTATCACAGGCTGCCATATGTGTTTGGAGAGAATCAAACAGTGGGAAGAAAGTACATACAACCTTTGCACCATTTGTCAAATTCACTACTTCAACCTCAGGGCCAGGAAAACCCACAACCACCTATGATGGTGGAAGTTACAGAGGCTTCAAAATATCGTAGATGGAAGTGGTTGAGCATGAACTAGGAATGATCACAGGGACTGGGATGACTTTTTAAATCGTCCTACAGTGCCTGGTGCCTCACAACTGCAATCCTAGCTACTAGGAGGAAGAGATCAGGAGGATAGTAGTTCAATGTCAGCATCAGCAAATAGTTTGAGAGACCCTATATCAATAAAACCCAACATGGGCTGGTGGAGTGACTCAAGTGGTAAAATGGCTGCTTAGCAAATGTAAAGCCCTGAGTTCAAACCCCAGTACTGCCAAAATAAATGAATAAGTAAAATAATAAATAGAAAACTAGTCCCACAGATGGAAAGTCACAGTTCCTAGGTTCACTGCCTGGTGCCCACCTCCTCTCATGGCACCAGCCTCCTTCTGGGTTTTGGAGGTCTATTATTAGCACAAAACAAGATAGAACCAAGCTTCTGAGAACCTACCTGGCAGCACAGGATTCTAACTCACAACATTCCTCTACCTGGATGGTGTCCCCACATGCTTTCACATCTCCATGCCCTCCCTCATGTTCAAGGCCTACCCTATGTCCTGCCTTATCAAGAAACCATTTTCTGACCCCAGCAGCCAGCGTGTGCAGAGGTTTCATGCACACCATCCATGAAACCCTGCAGCAATCCATTAGACAGGTAGAATTACCCTCCCAAGAAGAAATGCACGCTCAGGGTGGTTAAAATCTGGTCTGTTGACTTCAAAATTGGCAGCGATGGAATGAAGCCCAGGACTGCACAACTCCAAAGCCTGTGCTCTTAACCACTTCCTACGTGATATCACCTCAGCCACTTTACTATGGTCTGGACTTGGTGCCAAGTCACTTCACATACCTGTAGCATTAAGCATGTGAGTGTACGGAATGTTTCTCCAACTTCATTGTAGGCTCTTTAAGGAAGGGATGATATCTTGTTCTTTTGTCTTATGGGCCCACAGTGTAGACTCCTACATGGCAATTAAACACTTGTACATTTATTGAGGAAACAGGTTGGGTTCAGAGAATAAGGAAATGGAATTAAAATGTCCTGAATCCTAGACACCATACTTTAAAGACATTGCTATGTTTGGCCCTATTTCAGTGCTTTGTCATAGGTGCTAAGTAGTGTTTGATAGAGACAGCTTCTTCGTTTCTGAGGTTTGCAAAAATTGAGTGATTCACTTATTTCCATACTCCATATGAGTCATAAAACAGATCCTCTACACATTCTGTTCCCAAGTTAATTCCCTTCCTGCTTCATATATTGCATTTCAGATTCCAAGTCAGGTGCAATGTTAAATCTGGTTCCATGTGGCAGCTCTTTAGATCATCCACTGTTTTTCTTGCCAATGTATTTTGAGAAATGAAAGGTCACTAAGTAAATCTAAAAGAACTGGGATTGCCAAGTTTCAAAGGGTAGGAACAATCCTTGGCTTCCCACCAGCGAATGAAAGACCATTTCACAGAGAGAGAGGACAAAAGGTAGGACCCATGGTTAAAACCTGGACCCAGGAAGTATATAAAAAAACAAGCACTGGGGAGTAGAACCACTGCCAGGTAAAGACTCACTCAGGGGGCTGAAGCTGCTGCTCTTATGTCTGGGGCTGACCCTAGTCTGGGCCAACAAAGGAAAAAACTTTGATCTGTCAAAGGTAGAGTCATGGAGCAGAGCAATTTCTGACTTTGGGAGGTGGTTTGGGGGATCCTGAATCCAGGTGAGTCCTTTGGAGGCAGAAATTCTTTAACATTAGACTGAAGGAGTAGTTTCAGACCTTAAACTAAGAATATGACAATTCTTGGGGACCTCTATTTTTAGTGGATAGTCAAGGAAAGGGTCCTAGGTGCTGTCTAATTGACTGAGTTCTAGTTCCATGTGCAAATTACATTATAAATCCCAGTCCAAAGGGCAGAGTTCAAGGAGAAAAGTGTCCATGTGGCAGTACTCCTTCTCTTTTCTCAATTCTTTTACTTACTTATTGCAGATTAAAGGGAAGTGGTATCCCATTCTCTTGGCCTGTGACCAAAGGAAGAAAATAGAAGAAAATGGCAGCATGAGAGTTTTTGTGGAATATATTGATGTCTTGGCGAACTCTTCCTTACAGTTTACATTACATACCTTTCTTTAGTTAAGAAAGGGAAACAGAAACATAGGACACAGGACTTTCGGGACTTGAGGGTTTTCAGGATTCAGAGACAACACTTGGTTACAGGGATAAGTGTATTGGAAGTGAGAGGGGTAAGAGGGGACAATCATAATTAGTGTGAAAATACAGCCTAGGTTAAGGGCATGGAATTTGGAATATGAATCTATCTCTTACTAGTTAACAAAGAAAATTAATCCGTATCCACCTAGATATTCCAGAGGAGAGGGCAGTGGTGATAATTGTCCCTCATGGTTTTTGGAGAGGAGCAGGGCAGGAAAATTTATAAAGCTCTCATTGGTGAGACTGGCAAATAATGAGCATTCAGCTACTGATCTGGACAGACCTAGACAAATGACTCTAGCACAAAGATGGTAATAGTGGGATGTAGTGATGGTAAGAGTACTGTCAGGAAGTAGTTCTTTAAGTCATTATTAAAGTACCAGATTAAGTGAAACAATGTAAATAAAAGCTGTTTGATAATTGTATAAAAATGCTCAAAAGATGAATGGAATCAGAAAATCAAGTCTGGGCAGAAGTGGGAGTGAGGAGGCCAGCTTAATCAACATCTCCTGGGTATTTACTCATTCCGTTTTACAGTGGCGAGTGCACTGACATTTTTTTAGTTTGTGAGAAAACAGACAAGGATGGTATATATGCTGTTCAGTGTAAGTATATAAAAATCTTTCTAAATTATATTTTCAACTACAAGGAACTTATTGAACCCTATATCTTTAGGATCTTCATTGATTCGCTATCAATGCTTATTTGGGTAACATAAGAGTCCCCCCTAACAGTCAGTATCCTGACTCCTGTGCAAAAGCTAATGCCTAGCACATAATACGATCGGGGAAGGAAGGCAACTTGGGCATATGTACCTCCTGCAACGAAAGTTAGTGGGCAGGAAAAAAACCAATAAACTGGGTAAGATAGCTTCCCATTTCCTGCCATCTGCCTGATGATACCTGGTTGCCATCGACATAGCTCACTGCTCAGGATGCAACAGCAGATATGTGATGCCAGTGGGCTTAGAGAGGACAGAGACTCATCAGAAAGACTCCTTCCTTCCTGAGGGAAGGAGATGGGTCTCAGAGAGGATGAGTTACCTCTGTGCTAAATATTCTACACACTAGTGGTCAGTCTACCAGAAGTTAGAAATCACTTCGTGAAGCCATTGAGGATGCAAATTGATGACATTAGACATCTTCATTGTGTCTTTTCCAGAATATACATTTGAACTTTTTGTCGGCAAGAACAGGCAGATGGTTTCCATTATCCCCATGGACCAAGGAACTTCTGAGCTGTGTTCTGCTTTCTCCACTGATGATGGGATCAATGTATTTACCATAGCTGATGTGGTCTATGATAAATATATTATTTTACATAACAGGAATACTAATGATGAGGGAACATTACAAACAGTGGAACTCTATGGTAGAGTATTTTTATGGCAACACCTTGGGGTAGGGAAGGAGGGAAATGAAGGAACCCTAGATACAAACTGGTCTCTTTGATCTTATCCTGGACCATATTTCCCTCACTGAAGATGGCAGTTTACCTTAGGAAATCCCTCAGGCTCAGGGACAGGAAGATTATAAATCTCTCATCATGCCACAAAGATTCCCTACAGATGTCAAATTCAGGATAGGTTATATCCACTCTTTTGAAGCCCCATCCCCTGTTTCACCTCTACAGCCAATACCCAAGACAGTGTGGTTACTGTCACTCCTTCCACAGGCCGAGAACCAGATGTGAGTTCAGAAATCAAGGAAAAGGTTGTGAAATTTTGTGAAGAACATGGAATTGTTAAGGAAAACATACTGGACCTGACCAAAGTTGGTAAGTTTACCTATCCAAGTTCCCTTCATGAATTCTATGTCCCAGAAGGGAAAAATCCGAGGCAAGGTAACCAGTCCCCTTTGTCCCATGCTGGGGGGTCACCTGGTGTCTCTCAAGGAAATAAAGTGCAGCTGGTGACTGAATGTGCTCTGCTCTGCCTCTGCAGATCGCTGTCTTCAGGCCAGAGATGGACAAGAGGCCTAAGCCTCCAGGTTGGTGGTCTCTGGAGAAGGGGGATCTGGGGGGATTGAACCAGGGACCAAGATCTTCCAAATGCAACAGGGGTTTGTGCCTAAAGATTACTATAAGCATAATTTGGTAAGGAGGCTTATGGAAGAGTGTGAAATTTGGAGTTGGATGAATGGGTTCAGGACTGAGTCCTATATGGAGCTTTTGAGCAAATGACCTGAGCAATTGAAAAATCAAGTAATGATGTTTGTCTTACAGAATTGCTATGTGGATGTAATAAAAAAGGCTCAGGTAAAAAGGGCTCAGGTATTGACAATGTGCTAAAGATCTTAAGACTTGAAGTCTGGCAGGAGAGAGTAGCAGGCGATAGACAGTATGAGACTCAGATAAATACATGTCTGCGTTTGTGGTCCATCTTCCAAGGTGAGGATTCCATCTCTTCCTCCAATGTATGCAAACAATGTCTTTCTTTAACTCTGCACCTCCTTGAACTCTCATCTGAGATTGGAGCTGTCTGGCCTCCCATTGTCCTCCAATCTGGGGCATAAACTTCGTTTCCTCATTTGTCTCCTAACTCAGATTGATTGTGAGACTTCAGTCAGATAATTTATGTGAAAACTTTAGCACCTTGCATAAAGTAAGCATTTAATAAACTTAGCTATCATTTTGTCACTATTTCTTAATTTATCAGAAATGCTTCAAAACTTCTTATGCTGAATATGGCAGAAACAAACCTGAGGTCCTTTATTACTTTCCACTTATTTTTCATAGATTTGGGTGGGGGTAGGTTAAAATCACATCAGCATAGAAAAGTCATCTAATTGGCACACTTTCTCTGCTCTATTTTGGTGGGAGAAAAAAAATGAAGTTAGAATGCTGGGGGGATTCTAGTCACCATTTTTCTCTGTAATAGAATTTCTCTTTGTCCTGAATTCAACCGAAAGAATGCTTAATAAGTGTCTGTGTTCTCTTTCTCCTCTGTTTATTTAGTGCTGAGTGACAGCTTCCTCTCCTGGGCTTCAGTGTCATCCCTTTCTCATGCCCAAGGATCTTGTGGCAATTCTGTGAGATTTCTGTCACTCTTACATGTGAAGATGATATTCCTGCATCTCTTGATTATCTAGGATGACTCAACAATTCACCAAGAATCAAAGGCTTTCTTTTCTCCATTTGCCACGTTCAGGGCGATTCTATGTGAATAAGATCTTCTCCTTGTTTAATAAATGATTAGCCATGCAATCATGTGATCTTCATTGTGTCCAGGAGAACGTGGGACTGAGAGCACCTGAATGAGGACCCCTGGGTCCTGTACCCATAATCCTCTAGTGTCTTTGATGCCACCCTGAGTTTCAGGATTCTCCTCCTCTGCAGTCATCCTCTGTCAGTTGTCCCAAGTCCCTGTGAGTCCCTCCTCCCCATAGAGCTGCCTAGTTTTTAGTGGTATGGTCAGACCGCTATACATTCCATAAGAATATGAGACTTGCTCCATAATTTCTCCATCTTAGACTCCCTTTCTCAAAAGGACACTGAGAAACCAATGCTGCTGAGGCTGGTGTCAGCTGCGTGAGGTGTAGGACATGCTTCCTGCAAGAAAGAATGGCTCAGTCATTCTGGGCATAAAGGCTAGTGAGAGAAGCCTGTCTAGGAATTTGAAGTTCCCCAAGTATTTCTTTACCCCCAGGTCACAAGCCTAAATTAACTTCAGGTGGCTTATTACTCCTGAATCAAGTATTTGGTCTGGTTTGTCAAAATATGGCAAAAGGCTATTCAAAAAGCCATTTATTCTGGGATCTTACTCTCTTCTGGTGTTTTGCTTTTTGAGATTGGAGAGTCAGCCCCCCACCACCACCAAATTCCAGGGCTCAAACAATCCTGCCTCATCCTCATGAGTAGCTGGGAATACAGGCTCACACCACCACATAGTGTTTCTTGTTTTATAGTATTGGCATTTATGGGACAGGAAGACACAATGTAGCCTGTCCTTAAAAACACTTAGAAAATATGTAACAATACAACCAAGGGCCCACTGATGATGGGAAATGCTTGGGGAGTGCCACATGTCAGAAAAGTTCAGCCCAGAGAAAGGCACAAAAAGACTCTTGACTCTTCTCAGATCAATATAGCAGCTTGAACTCACTCTTAGACCCATCTCTTCTATTCTAAATATTTTGTGTAAATTGAGGCACAAAATATTAAGAGCACTTAAAAGCAATGAGGAAATGTCTATAGATCAGAAACAGAGCAATTCCTCTCTACAGAAAAACAAAGGAATAAACAGATGGAAGAGTGAACAGAGAACAGCAGTGCTGTTCCCTGGGATCTGGGGACAGATCTGAGTCAACCATATAGGAGTGGGGACAAGTGTCACAAAAACCAGGCAGGGGTGCAGGTTGAAGATGCACCCCTCTGAGGAGCAGAGGCTGAGACAGAATGATTTTCAAGAGAGCTCCTCTCCCTTACCTGGGCTCAAGCAAGAAGCTACTGCCTATGGCTGCACAAAGACACTATCACCCATTTCAGAGACAAAGCAGCACCTGAGATCCTGGAACTGGCCTGACTCTCATGTCTAAGCCTCAATGTTTCTGTAAACTGGTTTGATCTTCACGCTAGGCCAGATTGTCCTGTTGGACAAAATCTCATAAAACATCAACATGGACAAGGTCACTGTGGATCAAAAAAACAAGATCAGGGCTGGAAGAGTGGCTCAAGCAGTAGAGCACCTGCCTAAAAAGCCCCTAGTTCAAATCCAGTTAACACCAAAACTAACAAAAAATTTTTTGCAATCTACAAACATATTTCTTCTCTGCTAAAATGACAGTTACTTCTTTAGCAATTGCACATTTACCTTTATCTTTGTCTCCACTCTCAGTGATAGCTGATAGGTGAATCACCCCTGCTCTGACAGCACCCAACCCAGAGCCTCCTCAGACTTCCAGAAGTCCTACAGCAGGTTATTTCTATCATTCTTCCAAGAAGTTCATGGTACACTTTCTAAGTGTTCTTGCCAGCTGTAGTAGTAAACCCAACACATTAACTTACAGGTATGATCTTAGTGGTCTTTGGAGGAAGGGCATCAATATTTTTAGAACAAGACACAGGCTCACCCCATGCATGAGAAGAGGTAAGTAAGTCACCAAAGAGAAGTTTGGTTTGATGGTGTGCACCTGGTAGGGGCTAGAACAAAGAACACCTTCAATGATTTTAGCCTGAGCAATTGGAAGATTGGAACGGCCATTTCATTGGGTCTGTTGGAGGAGCAGATTTAGTGGGAGAAGACAAACATACGGTTTTGAACATTTCATTAGTTTATCTAGCTACACTGCTATAAAAAGAGACCCACAATGGAGTATTTTTCACCCATAAAGAATAATAAAATGATGTCATTTGCAGGTAAATAGATGATATTGGAGATGATCATGTTAAAAAAAAGTGAGCTAAACTAAGATCAGAAAGACAAATACTCCATATTTTCTCTCATATGTGGAATCTAGACTTAATAATAATAATATTATCGATATTGGATTGTTGTTCCTAGTTCATGTCCTGGTGTAGTCAATGATTGAAGACGCTGGGCCAAGAGTTAAGAGTTAAAGCAAGCACAAAGTTTATTGAAAGGTAGGAAAACACTCTGATGGGTGGGATTTAGTGAAAGAGCTAAGTCAAAGAATAACTGAAGTTGTGCTCTGCCTGAGTTATGCACCCCCTACTCTACTTTGAAGCTGCATCTATAATTAGCTCTCTAATTAACTTCTTGCTGAACCAACTATCTGTCTGCCCTTCCCCCACTCCTTATCAACTGGACCCCAGGAGGGTCTTATTAATCCATCCTGTCCTTGAGACCTGTCATATTCATTTTATGACTACTGCTTGTTATTTTGGTGAGACTCCCCTCCCCCTATCCTTTTGCTATCTTGGGAAAGTTTGCTCTGTTACTTTCCTTATGGGGTCTATTTTTCCATCTCTTTAGATGTTTGTCTTTAAAACAATGCTTCTTTGCCTCTCTTATCTAGGAGAAAGACTTTTATCATCTGGGTGAGAAGACTATTCGACACATCTCCTTATGTTTGCTTTTAAGGATGCCTTCCTGTCTTCCTGTCTCTTTTATTTAAGGCAAAGTTACTTGTGCCATCTGTTCCCTTTACATTCCAGGGTCATTTCTGCCATTTGTCCCCAGAGCCATTTCTCCCATTTGCCCCCTCTCCCTTTCACGTTCACTCCCCTTACATTATGAACTGAATGTAAAAGGGAGACTGTTGGAGGTGAACAACAGGAGAGGGGAGGAGGAAAAGAGAGGGTAATGGGGGGTTGAATATTCTCAAAATACATTATATGAATGTATAAAAAATTTCATAATGAAATCTACTAAAAACTGTAAGAAATGAGAATGGGGAGGAGAGATAAGAGAGTAATAGAGGGAGAGAATTTGATCAAAGTACATTGTATGTATTTATGCAAATATCACAATGAAACCCAGTTTAGAATTAATATGCACTAATTAAAAACAAAAAAAAGAGTCCTAATTATAATTCAGTATGGCTTAATGAAGGTGTTAATTTCTCTGTCCTTGTAGACATTCTGGAACCCAGTTCTTTCTATTTACTGTCTCCAGAGGCAATGTCTTCACTCTCTTCGTTATGGCTGAGTTGCAAGAGGTAAGCCAAAAAAACACAGACCACATCTTCTGTCCATTCTGGTCTGCCGCTGGCTCCATATCTGGAAGTTTGTCCCTTGTTCATTATCCTCCATGGCTACTACCCACTTCCTGCTTGCTCAGGTGTGGAGGGATTACTTTGAGAATTAAAGAATCACCTACTTTTGCTCTAAGCCAGGACTGAATTTCTTTGGCAATACAAAGTCTTAAAAACTTAGTAGATTTCCAGTATATTTGCCTCTTGATGTCTCCATGTACTTCTTCATGACCACACTCTCCAAATCTTATCTAGACTGATTTAATCCTGGATACCAGCATTTTCTAGATTGGTCTGCATAATCTGCAACCCCAGTTCCCTTAATCT